GGGCCGGGCGGGGAGCAGTGTCTGTCGGGGAGCTCCAACACGGCCTTGGTCTGTGGTGGCCGTTGCGAAGTCTAATTACAGACTTTATTCAACTGTTTTGTCTCTGCTTAAGACTTCGGTTAACGCTTTTTTTGCTAAACGTGCGCCTCTGAGCCGGGCGGGCTGTTGCTCGCTGCATCACAGCTCAGCAGCCTGAGGTGTGCTCCAGTGCTGGGCCTACTGACCGCAGCGGCCCGCTGAGGTTAAAGATGCTTTCCTTCAGAGGCTCCTACTTCTATAAGCCTTTTGATACTACTTACAGCATTTTAGAAATGCGAGGCACCCAGACGTAACACTAACAGCACGGGAGCTAGTCTGTATCAGTGGAAACTCCCGTGTTACTCTGATATAAATGTGCTTATGGGTATGTCATTTGAAAAATACATAACTTGGGGGTGTGTGGGGGAAAGCTTGCTCAACCCACTATGTGAACAAAGCTTTATGTACTCAGACAGCTGTGGTTTAAAGCCAAAAAACTTTACATAGGAAGCTAGTTCTCTACAGTGTTATTTTAGAACTGTATCTACTCACAGTGAATTGAAACATGAAGTTCTCTTAACTGAGAGTTTCAAGTGGGCTGTGTTTGTTTTGCTGCCAGTACTGAACAACTTTGCTTGGAACCCTGTGGCATGCTGTCCACTTGATGTTGAGACCTCCTTTATTATCATGCCTGTATTATCACTTTCAGACTTTCTCTCGTTAGTGCTAGCCCGGTAATATGTTTTAACACTGCCTACCATCTGAGCTATCTGTGGCTTATTCTGGACCCTTGATCCTGGGTACAGTTTGAAGACTGCCCTTAGTTGTCGCTACCTTAAAGTCTCCATTCTAGCAAGATATAATTGTGATTTACTTCAACTTGAAGGCTTAAGAGTTCTAGTAGTTCTGCATGTTATGGTGATCTTTTGTAGACTGTAGTGTTTTCATTGTTGTCTTTTTCTTGCAGAAATGCAAATGGCTTTTCCTTCAAAGAAACAATGTGTCAGCAAAACAACGGATCTAGAGTTCAACAAAGATCCCAATTTTAACTTTAGCTCAAACATTCTAGCAGATGGTGTCTTCAAAGCTACAAACCAAGGGTAAATGAAAGTAAAGTATTGATGGATTTATTACTTGGCAAATGTCCTAAAGATGGCTTAGCATTTTGCAGGCTTTGTCAAACTAACAGACTTGGTAATCTGCAAGAATGCAGTGGTCTTCTGGTAATTGTATTTTACCCATCTTTTAAGGTTGCCTAAATCTGCCAGGAAAGTGGAGCCACTTTCAAAGAAGACAGCTACAAGAGGGTATGTTTCCTCAAATTTCTATCAGTTGCCCTCAGGCAGTAATGTTCCCTCTTGGAGGGTTATGATGAGCTCTCACCCATTTACAGCTTTCTTGCCAAGTTTGATTAAAGCCGATTAAAGCTCTTGATCAGAAACGAGCAAATGCTTCAAAAAAGGGCATGTTTGTGGAAGTAAAAGAGAAGGTGTGTAATACTGATATTTTTGCCCCTAAATCTTTGATGTTTGACTCTACAGAACTCTCAACAGATACAAACTAGAAGCAGAGCTGAAGACCAAGAATCAGCTGTTAGAAACGGCCAAACAACAGCTACACTCCAGACTAACAGGAGCACAGGTAAGGAAGCCGGGGGGGGGGGGGGAAAAAAAAAATCATTGGGAAATT